TGTCCAAAGTCCTCTGTCATAGTAGTTATCACAATTTTGGCGTCTGACCAGGGACTTGGTACATTCTCAGTCGTTTCGCCGGCATCGTAGTCAGCATCATTAGTGAGTCTTGCCCTTCTCTTCATCAAGCTACAACTCGTCAAAGAGACTTCAGCAGAGGACTTTGGGCAAGGCTCGTCTAACTAAGGCCTCCTGACAGCAATACCAAGTTGCGAAAGTGAGGTCAACCCACTTTTATAAATCGAAAAGAGATTGCAATCATACCGAGGGCCACACCATCTTTGTCTTCATATATTCGATTTGGCTATTTAACTTTGCATATTCTTTTGCTTACAAAATTTTTATTAATAAATTTTTTAACTCACAGTAATAATTAATTAAAATTATTTTTTTCTAGAGTCAATGCTCATATTATCCTTTCTTGCCGTTAATTTTCTTACAGCAACTTGAGACATGAAAATCACCATGCGCTTGTGATCAATGATGGTCGTGAGTACACGCATGTCAACATGAACTTTAAAAGTCTCGTCGAACTAATCGAACATTTTCGCCAGGTTCCACTCACCTCAGTTCGCTTGCTTTATCCAATTAATGAGAAAAATGTGCAGATTCTTCGACAAGTAAGTATGACAGACTAAACCTAAGCATTCGGTTGTGAATTTTGTCTCTGATTCCTCTGCCACCCAGTCGCAAAATGGCGTATGTATCTGAGACTATCTGACCCTTCCTGAGCAGACAAATAACTTGAAGAGGATTATTATGGTGCAATTGAGTCGGAGTTTTAATTTAGGCTATCTAAAGCTAGACTATGTTCCAGGCCTTACAATTGATTGCGTCACTAGTGATGATGGTAGTATGGCTGAATTTCCATTTCTACTACATGTTTCCTACTGTACTAATCCTTCACTCTTTGTAAACATAATTACACCTTACATTTTAAAGTTAATTAATTCATCGAAAGTATGACGAACAAAATGATATGGCCTTTAGTATTGTCACGGTCTCCTTTCGTTGAATTCACAGCCTTTTTGGCCTTTTTTTTCGCAACTTGGTCCTTTTAGTAGAAAAACCTAGAGGAGCTCACTTTGGCCCGAGTCTATAGTATGCATGATAATTTCCAGGCCGTGGATTTGGTTCATTTCTAGACGTTTCACCAGCATCATCAGTGAGCCTTGTCATTCTTAGCGTCACACTACAACTCGTCAAAGAAACAAGTATAGTCGATCCTCTGACCAATTGTCTCCTGTCCTGGGATATTCACTTGTCATCTATCCCCATATCACCCCTTGACTATCACGATCCCTTACTTGCTTATTTAACCGTTTTTCTGGTGTACCCTTTTCAGTGGGTTCCATGAAACCTTTTCACTCCTCATACTGGCTTTTTCACCATCCTCAGCCCTTTCACCTTTATGCTTGTTCTGTTGATCTGAGTTTGCCATATTATACGAGTTGTGTTAACCCTATTTCATTTAAGGTGATGAAGGGCTGGTAGCTAAATTTTCCCACGATCATATAAGTAGACTTGACGTTTTCATTGAATTGCATATGGTTTTGCATTCCCAAAAGGTGTTCTTATCCTATTCGGACTGCAGTTTTGACCTCGCCTATGTCTTATTAACACCCCAACCACCATGGCAGTACAGCGTGTAATCTCGACACGTTAACCACTACGCCGAATTGCCGCGAATGCCTTTGAGTCACATGGCAGATGTGAATTCCAAAGAAGTTCAAACATTTTCCTGTATCACATTATTTGGTGGGAGTATCGATGAAGTTAAGCTATATTTGCTATAGCAATCGATGACATTACGTTTTTCGGTATTAAATAGGTTTTCAAGACTACCAGTAAATCATATATATGATTTGTTTTCACCCATATTAGTCCAAAATCCTCTTCCCTTAGGTCTTATCAGAATCTTTATCTTGCCCCGTAGGATCATTCTCTTATATCCTAGTTTAAGGGTTTTCATTCAACCACCGCCATCCTATCTGTGCTACTTGAGTCGTTATTACCCACACTGTGCCTCAAGCCTTTTATAGCACGTATCCTCTCGCCTCACTGAGCAGGGCCCCAGAATCTGGATTCCTAAGCTGCATAGAACAGTGATTTCCAAACTGTGCGCCGCGGCCTCTTTACAGGGGCCCCGCAAAATATTGTAAAAGCTTCGATTTGAGAAAATGTGCAGTGATTTACAGGCTCATCAATCATATTAATTATTGAATATTAATTTAATGTCAATAAAGTAAAAAAAATAATGAAGATACACGAGTTTTATTTATTTTTATCTCTTGCTTACGAATAGTCATACTTAGGGTACGGCGCCATGGAAAAATCTTAGTTGAAAAAGGGCGCCGCGACTAGGAAAAGTTTGGGAACCACTGGCATAGAAGGCTAATTTGAGGGTATAGGTTCCCTTATCACCGTTCGACATGCGCACAGGGTAATTCTCATGGCCAAACCTTTACTTCACGGACCAAGTCTAGTGCTAGCCAACTAGCTCTAGTCTCCGCCACACCTATCGTGCTTCTATCCATAATGTCAAGTATATGGCTTTCTCTATGCCCTAGTCTCTTAGGCTCTGACCCACAAATGTCGTAGTTCTACTTGTTTTGATTAAGCTCACTGCAGACTTCTCGTTTTGCTTTCCGATTGTTATTTTCTGGGCTTCTTGCGATTTCTTTTCCTAAAATTAAAGATGTTATCTTGGTCCAGTCGTCTTCTTCTCCGAGTTCACTTGTTCAATGTGCAAAGCTTTAAATGATCCTGCCTTCTTCAAGTCTCATGTTCATTAGATTTCTTTCGGTCAGTATAACGATGACCTCTCGGATCTTGCATTTTCTTGTATTTTCACCATATGCAGTCAGTATTTCTGTCTATTTCGTGTCCTGTCCATGCAATGTATTCCGCTATTTCGGATCTTTCCGTATCCATGTTTCTGTTGAGTCTTTGATGTTCCTTAATTCATAGGCCGATTTTTCTACCCGTTTCATCAATATACTTCTTCTCACAATTGCCACATTTGATGCAACAAACTCCCGAGAAATCCAGCTTGTCAATCTTATCGTGTTGCGTCACCAGGCTCTTGAGGAGTGTTGTCTTTTCCTTTTTTTTCACCTTAATATTTCATTTTCTTAGTAACGGCAGCATTTTTGACTTAGTTCACAGGTGGGCAAACATATCCTCTCGATTTCTCATTTCAAATCTCAATAAGTTTGTTCAACTATTCGTCTTAGAACTCCATGTTCGTTAGTCTTAAGCTTCTGATGATAAAACTCCTCAGTATTCCTATATTTAGTTGTTGTCTGATGCTAAGACTGGCAAGACTCACTGACAATACCGGCGAAACGTCTTAGAATGTACCTAGTCCATGGTCTGACTAGACTAATAATATGACCAAATTGGGAAAACAAGGTCAAACAACTTTTGATTAATTCGTGTTGTTATTTTATTTAAAATAGCTAACTTTTTCAGGAAGAATTAATGTTTGACCGGGCATGCATTTACTGATTTCATTTTATTTCTTTCAATCTACCATAGACAGAGCCACTAAATTCATTTTAGATCAATATTTGGCAGTGCAAAAATAGGTTATCACAAATTTACGGTTTATTCACTGGCGAGCTACATTCTGGTCTAAGATTTGTTGCTTGGTAAAAATCAATTCATTCGATTTTTCATTACATTAGATCTTGTTATTCTTTCTAGGCAAAACAATTTCAAGCGATAGGCCATCTAAATAACTTTTGGTTATAAACTATAACATTGGAATCTTTTTCTAATATCTCTTAATGACGTATCTCATTTGTAAATAAAATACATTTTACTTCAATGGTTTACAGACTTGATATATATTTTTATTTAATTAAGGTTATAATGTTTTCTTTATAGGTTTTGACTAATAGATTCTATTTGATTCATCGCAGATGGTGTGGCCTTCTGTTTTGTCACAGTCTCCTTTGGCCCTATATTGTTGGTTTGACCTTATCTTCGCAACTTGGTCACAGCGTTATGGAGACCTTGTGGAACGTACCTAGTCCTGTGTCCTCTACCATAATATCAAAGTGATGCTAACGATGCCGGCGAAATATTTGCGAATTTACCAAGTCAATTTTCCGAAGCTGGGAATCAAGAATATTATTACAGAGTTCACAGGACTAGGTACGTTCCACAAGGTCTCCCTGACGCTGCGACCGAGTTGCGAAAACAGGGTCGAACCAATTCTATTTGATTCGATTGGATTGATCTTCCTGTCAAAAATTATCGATACTCGATCTTTATGAGTGTTCTATACTATTGATGGATATATATTTGTTATCTAGCAACTCTGCCTAGTAAGTATTTCATGACTATCCAATTCTTTTCAATCCGTTCATCTGCTAGGCACACAAATGTTCGCCAAATCTCACTTAGATTTTTATAACAGACATCAGATTCATCCTAGGTAGCCTAGGATAATTACAGATAACGGTGATTTGCCCATGACGATATGAGTAAGTCTCACCGTTTTTTCATTTTGCCCAAACTAGACATAGCTTTGGACCTCTAATAAATTTCACTAGCACTCCTAACTGTACGGTTGTTTTGATTTCGAATCTCCTCGGGATAAGAAAGCCTTTTTGAGAAGCAAGGTGAATTGAAATTCATTGGCATCGTAAAGCCTACTGGCATAATTGTGGAAGGAAATCCACTATCAAATCTAAATTCATATTTCACTACTTTCCTTGTTATATATGTATATATATATATATATAACGATATTCATGCTAATTCTCTTATACAATTTAGGAGGCTAATTGAATGGAATATTAGACCTTATGATGTAATCGCGTTTCTTATATAGCAATCTTGATTAATTAGGCTAATTACTTATGGCTGAAAGCCTTTGATACAGAACAGGATCCAGATAAGTGAGTAGGTATATAGAGAAGTTTAAATTCAATATAAATCTATGGAAATATCCCATACTATACAGAAAGTTATATTTTTTTCGATCACTGTAAATTCTTACCTACATGCTAGCATTGGTTTTGAAAGGCCTAACGTACGTCGTAAAACGAACACCTAGGTGCTGCTGAAGCATATAAGAAGTTATGAAATGGCATTTTGGGATTTGCAGATGTCATCATCTTAAGCTACTTTTTTTATTAATTATCGAGCAAATATCATAAAGGTCATGATAATTTGATAGTAGACTAAGAAAATTTGCTCAAAAACTATATAAAGGATCTTGCATGGGACAACTAGAAAAAATACACATTTTTATTATACGTTTTCATTAGAAATGATAAACACTACCCTATCTATAGCAGTAATGTCTGGTTAAACTATTATTGTTTAAAATAACCCAAAAATCGTCGAATTAATCAGGGAAGATAGGTTTATTATTTTTTTTCATTATTTCTTTGCCGCTATTCGCCAACGAAATGATAAATTTCCCAGGCTGGACATTGAAGTCTCTCTTTTATAGAATAATATAAATTGGCACGCTCTATTTTGGTGTTGCTGTGAAATAAATCTGGATGTGTCCTCATGGTCTTCTTTACTTACTGAATTTGTCAAAATATCTTTTGTTTTTCTGACGTCCTCTTCGTGACTTATTTTTAGGTCTAAAACTGTAACCATAGTATCTCTATTTGGGGGAGAACTAGACTTGAAATTCTAAGGATGTATTCCTCTTTAACTATCGTGAGAGTGGTCCTGAATCCTGCTTGAATTATGTGCTCTAATGGGTAACTTTTGCCATCTATATTTTCTGTTTTACAGCATTGAGAGTAATTGTTTCTCATTCTTATTCTTAATTTTATTTTAGGTTATAGCTAGGATTCAGCCGCTTTTTGTATTTAGACAGAACTAAAATTATTATCTAACTAACAGCAATGTGTGACCATATAGCCAAATATACTTGTAGAAATGACTTTGCGAAATAAATTTTGAGTGAAGTAGGTGTTACAAACTTAAGTTCCAGGTATTCGGCTGCCTTGTGTTATTTTTTATTTTTTTATTTTCTAGCTTGCTGATCGGCTAGAAGCATCAAATGAGGACACTGACCTCGATGCTCCTTTGGCGGATGATCCCCTCTCAATTTCCACCAAAACTGTCGAGGTGGATAACGGAGTAACATCCAGAAGGATCAGCACTACTGATGCCGGTAGAGCTCCTCGAGATCGCGGTGACGTCGAATCGCTCTTTTCTACTCCAAAGGATGGACCTCAGAATGAAGTCTATGAGGAAAGTGGAAACGCCTATTCCAGCGATGGTTATCTCAAAAAGTGAGTTGATTTGATCCTCTACTTGGTTTTGGTTTCCAGATGCCTCTATCTAAGGATTTTGCCTTATTATTTGATAATTGCATTTTCCATATAAGCGCAGATGCAGCCGAATTCCTATGCAAGGTTTAATCATGGAATCCATCCCGTTTTTTTCAGCCGCGATTCTCTCTGATGTTGCCGCGAGTCGTTTACTTCTTTTAATTAACCTGCCAAATTGATCGCTTTTTGAAAGTCGTCTCATTCAACTCAATCATCCGAAAGACATATTTTCAAGAAAGACAGAAAAATCAATTTAATTAGCTAAAAATAAAGACCAAGTGTTGCTAATTACGTTCTTAG